GGTTCCTCAACTTTGCCTTTGATGTTCAAGGCTCCTAGATTGTCTTATATAATCCATTCACTTGTTTTTTCAGGTCTTTGTTGTAAGAGGGACCACAGGAAGTGTCTGACTACTCCGTCACCTTTTCTTTTTTTGTTTGTTTTCTTTATGTTGAGGTGTAATCTATAGTGAAGGCTGTAGTCTCTAATCTTTATCAGTGAGTGCTTCAAGTCCTCTTTGCTTTCAGTGAGCAAGGTTGCATCATCTGCATATTGCAGGTTGTTAATGAGCCTTCTTCCAATGCTGATGCTGCGTTCTTCTTCATATAGTGCAGCTTCTCGGATCACCTTTCTTTGGAATGGGCACAAATATGGATGTCTTCTATTTGGTCGGCCAGGTAGCTGTCTTCCAGATTTCTTGACATAGATATATGAGCCCTTCCAGCATTTCATCTGTTTTTTGAAACGTCTTAGTTGATATTCCATCAATTCCTAGAGCCTTGTTTTTCACCAATGCTTTCAGTGCAGCTTGGACTTCATCCTTCAATACCATCGGTTCTTGACCATATGCTACCTCCTGAAGTGGTTGAACATCAACCAGTTCTTTTTGGTACAGTGACTCTGTGTCTTCCTTCCATCTTATTTCGGTGCTTCCTACATCGTTCAATATTTTGCCCATAGAATCCTTCAATATTGCAACTCGAGGCTTGAATTTTTTCTTCATTTCTTTCAGCTTGAGAAATGCTGAGGGTGTTCTTCTGTTTTGGTTTTCTATCTCCAGGTCTTTGCACATGTTATTATAATACTTTACTTTGTCTTCACGAGCCACCTTTTGAAATCTTCTGTTCAGCTCTTTTACTTCATCGTTTCTTCCTTTTGCTTTAGCTACTTTATGTTCAAGAGCAAGTTTCAGAGTCTCTTCCGACATCTATTTCCTGTCTTTTGAATGACCTTTTGCTTTCTTCATGTATGATGTCCTTGATGTCATCCCACAACTCACCTGGTCTTCAGTCATTAGTGTTCAGTGTATCAAATCTGTTCTTGAGATGGTCTCTAAATTCAGGTGGGATATACTCAAGGTCGTACTTTGGCTCTCGTGGACTTGTTTTAATTTTCTTCAGCTTCAAGTTGAACTTGCATGTGAACAATTGATGGTCTGTTCCACAATCTGCCCCTGGCCTTGTTCTGACTGATGATATTGAGCTTCTCCATCATCTCTTTCCACAGATGTAGTTGATTAGATTCCTGTTTATTCCCTCTGGCGAGGTCCAGGTGTATAGTTGCTGTTTATGTTTTTGAAAAAAGATACTTGCAATGAAGAAGCCATTGGTCTTGCAAAATTCTATCATGCAATCTCCAGCGTCATTTCTATCACCAAGGCCATATTTTCCAACTACCAATCTTTCCTTTGTTTCTGACTTTTGCATTCCAATTACCAGTAATTATCAGTGCATCTCAGTTTCATTTTTGATCAATTTCAGACTGCAGAAATTGGAAAAATTCTTCAGTTTCTTCATCTTTGGCATTAGTGGTTGGTGTGTAAATTTGAATACTAGTCATATTAACAGGTCTTCCTTATAGGCATTGGATATTATCCTATCACTGACAGCCTTGTACTTAAGGATAGATCTTGAAATGTTCTTTTTGACGATGAATGCGATGCCTTCCCTCTTCAATTTGCCATTCTTGGCATAGTAGACCATATGATTTTCCTATTCAAAATGGCCAGTACCAGTCCATTTCAGCTCACTAATGCCTAGGATATTGATCTTTATCAGTTCCATTTCATTGTTGATGACTTGCAGTTTTCCTAGATTCATACTTTGTGCATTCTACGTTCCGATTATTAATGAATGTTTGTGTCTGTTTCTTCTCATTTTGAGTTGTGTCACATCAGCAAATGAAGTTCCTGAAAGCTTTATTCCATCTATGTCATTAAGGTCGACTCTACTTTGAGGAGGGAGCTGTTTCCTGGTTGTGTTTTGAGTGCCTTCCAACTTGAGGGGCTTATCATCTGGCACTATATCAGACAGTGTTCCACTGCTATTCATAAAGTTTTCACTGGCCAATTTTTTGTTTAGAAGTAGACCACCAGGTCCTCCTTCTTCTCTGTCTTAGTCTGGAAGCTCCACTGAAATCTGTCCACCATGGTTGACCCTGCTGGTATTTAAAATACCAGTGACATAGCTTCCAGCACCACAGCAATATGCAAGCGACCGGAGTATGACAAACTGACAGATGAGTGGTGGAGAAGCTGTACTAGGAACCTGGTTTACCATTCATATTCTGTATTAGAAAATATTACATCTTGATTTTCCTACATCGTTTGTGTCAGCACATCTGTTTTGTTTTTTCAGTCTGAAATCAGTTCTTACTGAAGACATATTCGTTAAGGATGAGAGTAATTTGTTTACTTTTCCAAAAGAACAGTTAAAGAGGCCATGGGTTTATTGTAACAAAGTCTAGTGTTTTCTGTCTCTTTGTTTTCCTGAATTTTTCTGATAAAACAGTTTATTTTTTTAAAAAAAAACTGATACAACCAAAAAATATGGTCAAACTAAAAGATGTTACCTTTGTTACATTTAGGAATGTGGAGATAAACATTTTGTGTTGAGGAAAATAAATAAGAACAATATTTTTTAGTCTTGTGTTAAGTATGTGTGCCTACCAGATGGTACACGTGTTTTCATTACTGCTAGCTGTAGAACAACATGGGCTGCAGTGAAGTGTATAGTCCCTTACTCTAATTTTAGGTGTTTCGAGCATTTAGCTCTCTGATAATGTGAGACTCA